ATTTAGTTACAATTTTTTCTCATCATATGATATATGATTAAATCAATAATTTTATGACTGTTGAATAAATTTTTTAAAGGATTATTTTATTTGAAAAAAAGAACTCATAACTATACTGTAACAAATATTATATATTTGCGTAAATCTTATTTATTTATCGAATTCGGTTAACCATGTGTATAATATAATATAATATAATATTATATACATTATATACATTATTATACACGTATAAAACACGATATGATATTTACATTTGAAATAAATTCTGCGTATAAGCTCTATGCAAATTATCTTTTTTCCAATATTTACAATAAACTTCATAACGTTCATATCTTTAAAAGAAATATAATTAATCATTCGATATTTTACATATGACATATTCATATATTAATAAAATTTCAATTTTTAATCTCTTTAATAACTTCGTGTTTAAATATACGAAATACTTTAAACGCAAATGGAAAAACTGAATAAAATATTCAGTCTCTGTCAAATATATCTTCACATAATATGACGTATTCAAGTTAACAAGTTAAATTCAATAGCATCGAGGCGGATTTTTCTTTTAAAAGAAAATTCTATAAACGTTCACCGATTGGACGTGCAAACTTGTTTATAAATCTATGCAATATGATCCCTTATGTCGAGAAATAATCGTAGTTCTGGCGTGTTCGCAATCTTTCATATCGCGTTAGATAGGTTTCAACGATCGTAGAGTGTTCTTTTGATAAAGGACTTACAGAATGTAGGGTAGAGTGTTTGATCGATGATTTCGAAGAAATTGAAAGTCTCAGTGAAATAAAATTCACGTCAGAGTATAAGGTGTATTATGGACCGCGATGTAGTAGATATTAAATTAAAGGATAGCAATAAAATGGAATAAAATTTCATCAATTTATTATTTACAGTTAGCCCTCTTAAATGTATATAATATGATAGGTACTTTGAAAACATGGTTTCGATATAGTACGACGTAGAAATTGCGATTTTCTTGAAATCTTTCTATAATATAATAATTAATAAACTTGACATAATTAACTTTATAGCAATATTTTCAACACATTTTAATTTGTGTTAGTTTCAAAATTTCTAAATTTTCCTTTATTTTGCTTGATTTTAATACGACATAAAGTGAATTAACTGTATCATCAGGTTGATTATATCAACAATAGTTTGACAGTAATATTAAAAGAAATGATACCAATATTCTCTGTAAAAGGAAAAAAGTCTTTGATTTGGATCCTCTTCGTAATACACTATTTAAAATTTATTATTTTTTCGTCAAAAAATTTTCACTTCGATCTGGATTTTTGTTATTTGAAAAAATTTGATATTGTTATATGGATATCATACCAAATATATTTGTGGCTTCGCTTATTCTAATGCGGATGATTTAAATTGTCATTTCTTTTAGTTTCATTTACTAATTTCTATATGAAAGAACTTAAATCAAAATAAATTTATTATAATAAAATGAATGAGATTTATATGGAAAAATTAATTAAAAATTCTTCGAACGAAAAAATATAAATAATTCATGATTCAATATTCTCTGAGAGAAGATATTTAGTAACAGATTTTATATTTATTTTTATTCTATTTTTTTTAGTTCAGATTTAAAATTAATTTAAAGTTTTATTCCAATCAGTATACTAAATGGTGAATTTTTATTTTTGATACTAAAAAAAAAAAAACAATAAATACACAAATATATATTTATGTATTTTTGTTTTTTGTTCAATGTTTTACTATATTTCGAATTTGATGGTTTATGTCTTTCTTAGTAGTTATGCTAGTAGAATTTATATATTGCACAATTGTATATTACTTTTTAATGCATCATTTTTACTCAGAAGTATCTACTTATTTCTATTTAGAAATTTTCCATTGAAGTGTAATTATATGTATATTTCGTTTTTTTTCTTTTTCTATCTATAATCTACGTATTTTCATGTGCAATTTATGTTAGTTTATTCTTCGTACTTGTTAAATATTATCTTTCCCTTTCTACTTTCAAATAAACAAACTAATACAAAATAATCTTGAAAACTGGTTCACATACAGGCTGTATCATGGACAATCAATTCGAAGTGATTCTTTATGCAATAACGAGTCGAAAAGAAACGTACAACTTTTCCATTTTTTTGAATAACCTTGAAAATTTATTCGAATATCGGAAATTTTTCGAATAAAAATGAAAAAAATGAATCGGTTGATATTTGATTGGATATCAATGAACTATCGATAGGAGGTTACGTTATGAAAATAATAGCAAAAAAATATAGAATAAAATTTCATCATTTAAATTTATATTTTTGAGAAAATCGAGATTCAACACGCGTGCGATACGATAAATCATAAATATAATCGATGAATTCTACATTTTCTGCTCATTCTCGAATGTAAAACAAATTTCCAAATCGATGTTCATTCACGTAATTAATTAATTCAGCCAATTTCAAATGTAAACGTGATTCATTCGAAAACGAAATTTCCGATAAAAAATTTTATTTTTTCTTTTCGATTCACCGTTGCATATAGAATCATTTCCACTTGTTCGTCTACGATTCATTCTGCGTAACACACTTTGCTACTTACTTCGATTCTTTTTACACATTGACATACCTGTTGCTATTAAACGGGAAGAAATATTATACATAACAGACAAAGAAGATATTATTAATTTTACGCACCGCGATCGATACATTCTCCCGTTTGTTTTCACGATGCATGTGCACATATGCATCGATGTTTGTTTGTACACTGAAATATTCAACGAAACTGAGTGTACACTAGAGCCGGTAGGTAAACAAAGGCAGTTCAGGCTAGATTGTTAATAGGCATGAATGCCCTAAAGGATAGCATTCGAGTGCTCTCTCGCGTTTCGAATACGAAAGGAATGTATAATTCAACAGAAAAACAGAAATAAACTTCCATCCTTCTTCTAAAATTGCAGGAAATGAAACAATTTTTTAACGATATACAGTCGTAAAATTTCTTATACGTATAGAAGAAAATTGTTAGAAAATTGTGAAATTTACTTAATCCGGAAATTCTATATATATATATATATATAATGAAAGTTTGCGTGTATGCAATGCATAATTGGTTATTGTTGCTACATCTCTTCGAGTGTGTGAATTCGATTATTCCTTTAAATTTTCGTTACTTCTCCGTTATGCAATTTCATTTGGGAATAATTTTTAACGGGATAATTAAAATGTGAATATTTTGTAATTTAAAATTTTTTTCTTCTTTGTATCGTTGTAAAATTATATTTAAAAAAAAAGAAGAGGAACAAAAATTGGAAATGTTAAGATTCTAAAACTAAAATAATTTCAGTTTCTAATTAATTCTAATTAAGGATATAACAAGAAACAGTGAAGTTTGAGATACTCACGAGTTTATTACTATATTACTTTTAAATATATATATGTAATAGTTAAAAAAAAGTTTTTAATACTTATTCGTCGAAAATAATTTCAATATGGCATACGAGAATTTTCTAAACTTCACACGATTGCCTAATTATGAATAGAAACATGATCTTACGTAATATATTTTTTATACAATGTTATAATGTTAATTATTATAAATTCGAAACGTATCATTCTGATCAAACACGATCGAAATAAGAGCCCTACAATATTTAACCATTAGTATAAATATAATAGAAAAAAAAATCTTTAATAAATTACACGTATTAAAAGAAAAAAATAAATCAAACACGAATTTTTAACAAGTTTCAAAGTAAATAATCACAGTGAAACATATCGCAGTATGTTTGCATGTATCCATTCATCTAGAAGAGTATATACATTTTGACACTCACGATGCGAAATAATTTTATTGGCCTTACGTAAGCCTTGGTTCGAAGAAGAGACAGAAACACGCGGAAAGTCACTTTTGCCCGTCGATAGAAACGACGAAGAAAAAGCGAACGCTCGAAAATTCTGCGACGCTTCTCGGATAGTTTGCTGTCGGTCGTTTTCCGTGTTCAATGCGCGGCGCTTGTTATTTGTCCGACGGAACCTTGAAACCGCTGAAAGCCCTCGCGTTCGCGCGTACGAAACGAATATTTCTCGCGCGACTCGAGTTTCATTTCCCCGTTTTTCCTCTCGAATATACCGAAATAATCGTGCGCATTCCTCATTTTACCACCGTCGCAATGTTAAAAAAAAAGAAAAGCACGTGTGCGACCAGTGAATAAGCGAGAGAGAGAGAGAGAGAGAGAGAGGAGGAGAAGAAGAGAGAGAAGGAAGGAGAGAAGAAAGAGGAAGGAAAA